TCTCTCCGGGTGGAGCAACGATTCAGAATAAGCACCGCACAGCTGGGAGCTGCAGGTGCAAGGATTTTTCTCCCCTTCTTTTTTTCTCCCTTTCCGACTTTGATTTCCGCTCCATGTCTCCCCTTCTCTTTGTCTTTCTTGTATATTTGGGTTTTTTTTTCTGCCTCCTTGGCTTGCTTTCTGTTTCACATCCCTCCCACTCTGTTAAACTAGTCTTTTACCTTAATTAATGTGATTTACCAACCTTAATCCCCCATTTATTTCCTCTAAATGCTTTGCACTGTTCTCTCACTTCACACTCTCTCTCTCACCAGCGGAGGATGACAGTCACACTCACAGTTTAAATTCTTGGCTGGCACCTGGGCGTGTCTGCAGGAAGATTTGCTTTCATGGACGTTTGAGGCAGCAGTGACCAACCGACTGTTAAAGTTCCTGTTTAAGCCATTGCAGGCACCAAGAGAGATAGATGGAGAGGGGAGGGAGGTCACGGCCTCCAGGAAAAATGTTTATCGTGTGGCGCTGAAGACAGAGAGTTGCCATGGTGTCCTGTTACTCATAGACAGGGCTGACCTTCGTGATGTCACACAAACACACACAATACACATCCAGAGATGCCTGACTCAGACAGCCACACTTTATCCTTTTATCCTTCTCTCTGACTCCCCTGTCCTTTTGCGTCTCACCCTCACTCAGTCCTGGATGCACTTCATTGATCTAGCATTATCAAAAAGAGAGGACACGGCCATTCCTTGTATGTCAATGCCATTTATTATTCAGGAGTGAAGCAACAAGCGTGATATATGAATGCACACACTCATGCTCAATAGCAGTCCATGCATGCTGTGTTCTGCACCATACTCTCATAATTTCTGTCATTTTCCATTTCTAGGTCGAGTCACTTCTCCGGGCGTGCCGTGTATTATCTTTCTTTGCAGAGGACAATGAGGAATGCTCAGTCTATGTATCTCCTGCTCCTTCCTGTGGTTTCCTCTTTTTGAACATGTCCATCACTGGTTACAATGAATCATCTTTTCAATGCAAACCTCCAGCCAGCCTCCTGTCTCTCCTAAGAAGATTTTTGTGTGCAACATTTCCTTTCAGACCTTCCATCTCATGTTACTGAGTGCTGTTTCAGTGATGAGTTTTTTTTTTTTTAAATGGAGACTGGTTAAAGAGCAACAGTATGACAAGCTACAAAGGCTAATGATGACACTAATGAGGAATGCCAGTCATTAAGGCAGGGTGATTTCTTTCTGTCTTTCTTCCGTTCGTCTGTCTTGCTTCCTCGCCCTTCCTCGCACTATCTCCCTCTCTTTCTCATTCTGCCCTCATCTCCTCTCACTCTGCTGTCTGGTGTCTCAGCTCCCATAGTCAAGCTGGCAGAATAAAGGGTTAGAGTTTAGAAAAATTGCAGAGAAGTTTGCAATTTTAACAGCCTACAGGGACACACAAGCACTCAGAATAAAAAGAGCATGTAATGGCTCAAGTGAAAGCAGCCAATACAATCTAGGCTTTGCTGCCTAAATGTACCCCAGTGTTACTGTGGTTCTAACAATCAGTTGGCAAATAGGCTTTCTAGTATGGGGGGCTTTGAGGTTTCAGTCTCCTTCACTCTGTACTTATCTGTGCTGTTTCCTGTGTGACGGCACACAGGTAACTACAGTCTGTGGTGCTCTTCTGAGTTTACTTTTTTCTTTTTTTTTCAACATTTATCTCTAAAAGCTTCCTGTAAATGAAACACACACATGTATGCATGCTCATCTGATCAGCACACACACAAAAGTTTTAACCCAAATGGACACAGAGGGTCATGCATGGACAAACACACATTTGTACACCTGAGTTTTTTTTTCTCTCTTTTAACAGGACCATCTGAAACACTGAGACCAAGTTTTTTTTTTTTTATTCATCCATGTTTTCCCCTGTGACTGTGGTTGGGCAGCACTGCGCTGTAATGGTCTATAAGGTCAAACGCTATCTTAACTCCACCGCGGGAGGGTGTGACCTTTGAGGGAAACACAGTCTTCTTCAATCTTCTCTCCCTCGACGTTGCCACTGCACTCTCCTGAGGGAAGGGAGTGGATGAGAGGAGGATGAAGCGAGAGAGGATGAGGGATAGAGATAGTGAGAGTAGTAATTAAAGTAAATATGTCCCCTTAGCGCTCCATTAGAATCTGCCTGCATTTGATATAAGTGGCCTAATTATGCAAAACGCCAATGGACATTGCGCGGTATAAACGTGAAATGTGACAAGTGGAAAAAAAAAAAGACAGAGAAAACCCTGCGTTCCTAGGAGAGTGGATTAATGGCTTATTTGTGAGTAGTGATGAGTTTTAATGGGTTGAGAAAGAACAGAATAGACAGACAGACACACACACACACACACACACACACACACAAAAGGCCACAGTAACCATGTGTGAAGGACACAGCAGTGCAATGCGATGCTGTCCCTCCAGTTGATCACGCTTTCATCTCAGTTTGCTCTCCCTTTGTCAATTTTGTGGTCAGACAAGCAGATGAACAAGCACACAGATAAAATGGGTGAGGGACAGACAAAGAGCCATATAGATACCCACGTAGAGATAACGGGCTGTGTCCCCTCCCGACAACGACATACAAAATCTCAAGTGTGTGTGTCTGAGAGAGA